TAGATGTTTTTCTGGGCTCCTATAACAAAATACCATAAACTGGATCACTTCTAAACAATAGAATTTTACTTCTCATAGTTCTAGAGACTAGGACTTCCATGATCAAAGATGTAGATCTAGGCAATTTCCTAGATAGCCATCTTTCTCTTATATCCAGACATTGCTGAATGATCTAGAACAAGTTCCCTGGCCTTTCTCATTCATGAGGATCCTGCCCTCCTGACCTTATCACTTCCCATTAATATCACCTAATCACATTACCTCAGGGATATAAATTGGGGGGACACAAACATTCAGCCTACAGCAAGGTTTGAAGACAGCCTTCCACATGTCAATATTTGGAGCTTAGAGGGAGGAAGAGGATTTAGCAAAGAAATTTGGAAGGAATAGTAAGAAGAGAGGAAAACTAAAATCCAAATGCAGATTATATGAAGAGAAAGTTAACGAGCATTTAGGTGACAAACTGCTGGGGACTTTATAACCTAGCAAATTAGACAGAAATGATATGCACACCTAGAGTTAATGCTGTTGCCAAAAAAAAAATAAAATCTGGATCTGGTCACATCTCTATAAATAAGTTTGTAAAAGTTATTTATAAGAGAGGCACAGGACATGTTCAATGACATCTCAAGGCTATAATCAGCAAAATCCAAAATAAGGAAGAATCTCCATGACAGGTTGACTTAGGGTCACCCTCTTCAGATACATGTTACCACACCACGCCGCACCTGGCTGCAATCACAGGTGTGTCTCTTCATCCACCTTTAGTTGCATAGAATGGAACTTGCTCAGTGTCCCTTCTGTCATGGTCAGCGCTGGTCTGTTGGCCTCTGACACCCAGGAAATGTTTAAGTTTTGCCCAAGTCACAGTGTCCTCAGAGTCCAGCAACCCTCTGGACTACTGTGTTATCCTCCCTGGAATGAAGCAGGGAACTTCTGATGCTACCTTTCCAATTCCTATCCTGATGTAGATACATTAATAAATAAGTGATAGTAAAGAAGGAAGAAGGTACTGAAGATTATGGAAGTCTTAAAAGAGAAGCCACCTGTGTACATGTGGGCTTTGGTTCCTGACTCAAACTCTAAGAAAAGACAAAGTTCAAGTCATTCTAAGAAACTTTAAAAGGATGGGATATTTAATGATATTAAGGACTTTTTTTATTTTTTGTTTAAAGCGGTGTTATGCTTATGTTCTTAAAGAAGTCCTTATCTCCTAGAAACACTGGAGGGTTACAGATACATAAGATATAATGCTGAGATTTTCCTTACAAAAATTCACTGGCGGTGAAAAAAAATAGAATATAGATGAAAATTGGGTTGTTTCTTTCTTGGTTAACTGATTGGAATATAGGAATGCATTTTACTAATTTCAAAGAAAAGAATTTAGAGTCATATAAACACCAACTGTGACATTCAGCATGATTTTGATGATGGTAGTTTTATTGACCTTTTGAGAAACCCTGTCAAATATCCTACCACATAAGCATTTGCAAGAACTGAAACCTATATTTTATGTTTACTGAGAATGTTAAGTTTTTTAAAACAATTTTTAAATTATAAATAGAATAAATTTTCATTGACTGAAAATCATAAAATACGGATGTTTAAAATGGAGGTAAGACCATCCATAATCCCACTCTACAGAGGTGAGAAAAATGTTTTAAAATATTTTTTATATATTTAAAAGAAATTATATGCCTACATGTGTGTAATATACATGTATAATATACATGTATTATAGATGTACACAGGTACACATAATAAAGACCAGGCTATGATAGGTCATCACATTGTGCTTACTTCATTGCCACCTGTCTGTCATGGGAGGCCGCTCCCCTAAGAGGAAGGTAGCATTAGGGAATTTGCCAAAGCAAGGAGTTGTCTGTGCTTTTCCAGCACTATGAATGAAATCAGCATGCCTGAGTGTTATAATGGACACTTCCAACCAAAACTTATAATAATGTTCCCAGGGTTTTTATAATTTATGACAGTTGAAGAATTTGGGTAGAAATGGAAAGGGCAGTGGAAGAAGATGGTAGTTTTATCAATTCAAAATAGACCAAGAAAATTCCCAGAGGGGCCATTTCCCCTTTGTCCCCTTGTGTCTGTCCTATACTTTTCCTTACCTGATCTAGGAATTATTTAAACACAGATCCTGGACTAGTAGAATAAAATGAAGTTTATTCACCTACCCGAATCCATTGTAACTATGTAAAGAGATAAAGAATATCTATATTGCTAGGAAGCATTCACTAGAAAATATTGTTAAATGCCAAAAAGCAAAGTGTATAGCTACCCTTTATCTAAATGGTGGGACTATACAAAATGTATATTTTTTTATATTAAACAAACCGTGGATAAACTTTTAAATTAAATTACTAATAGGGAGAGGAGACTTACAGATAGAAGCTAGATGTCTCTGAATATATCTAGTTTTGTAGATTTGATTTTAGAATCTCATAAGTATTTTAATAACTTGGAAACAAAGTTAAGTTTAAGTAACACAATCCTTAAAATTCAGTAGGAAAATGAAATAAACAAGCCTAATTCTATATCAAGTTGTTGTTACAGCCATACAGAAAGAATATTTTAAAAAGTTAAGCTCAGGCCCTCCCTGGTGGCGCAGCAGGTTAAAGCACTGCACTAAGAAGATTAAGCCACTTCCGCATGAGTTCGATCCCCACCCGCCCCGGAGGAGATCCACATGGCCTGGCAGACCTCTCCTGACCCGCCCGCTGCTCCCCTCAGCAGTGTACTTCATTGATCTGCCTGTTCTGCTCCCCACTCTGTCCCTGGTGAATCCTTTCACCCTTCCCATCTCTGGTCTGTACTCCAGCTCTGTATGAATAAATAAATAAATCTTTAAAAAAAAAAAAAAGTTAAGCTCAATAACTTAGCTTATATGCTTCATAGTATATGCCTTAAAGACAGAAGTTTTAAATACCTTGAACAGTGTTCAAGAAATATAAAGTTGGTGGTGGTGCTGGTATTGTCAGGCTGTTGTACAGATTGTAAAAATAAAGCTATTAAGTTATCGTTACTGAGAAACAGCACAGGAAAAAGAAGATAAAGACAGAAGATCACAGAAGTTAAGCAAAAAACTGTAGCTTTGAAACAGACGTGCCAATAGGCATTCATGCTGTATTTTCTCTTGAAATGTAGTTCTCAGGTTCTGCTCTCTGAAAAGGCTTGCAATGAGAGACCTCCGTAAATTCCATGTTTTGGATGCTGAGTACCACTGCTCAAAATAAGAAACCAGGGCCCTTAAAAGAAATGACTGCTTCTAGATCTGGGCAGGAAGTGTGCAAGGTCATTGATACATCTTAGTACAACAGAAAGCTAAGAAGCTTTCAGAATTGGAATTGTGTCAAAGGACTAAGGAGCCAACTTAAATAGAGCTCCACTAGCAAAGATGCTGCCATCAAGAAGAATAATGACTGCAGTGAGTTGAAATGCATCAATGTATCTTAAATTCATACTTCCTTAAAAAATAAGAAAAAAATCTCTTTGGTTAAAATTAGGAGGATGCTAGAGATGCAGTGTGTGTGTGTGTTGAAGATTGATTTATTTATGCATACAAGAACTGGTGAGCACAGGCCAGAGGTGCGGGGATGGCCAAGAGGGTCTGAGAGGATTCACCAGAGACAGAGTGAGGAGCAGAATAGGCAGACTGACTAAAATCCACTGCTGAGGCAGCAGCAGACAGCACAAGAGAGGTCTGCTGCGCCATGTGGGTCAGCTCCCTGGCTGGGGATAGTGGAGCTGTGGAGAGCTTCCTAGTGCTGCACTTTAACCCCTTGCGCCACCTGGGAGGCCCTGCAAGTATATATATTTTTAAGCTGGTAAATAGAAAGAATTCAGCACTTATCCTGCCTTCCTTGTCCAAACTACTGACCGTAGGGATAGGGTAACCAGTTAGTGATGGGGATGGTTTTCTCTTATAAAAGCATTTTAGGTAGTGAGTGAAGCAAGAATGATGGAAATAAAATATCACCATTGCATAACCCTCAGTGGACTATGGACCTAAGTAATGATCTGTGATGCCTGCTAATGACACAAAAAGAGACACAGCTAGACACTGGTGCTTCCTGTTGGAACACTAATCCCTATGAAGTAGCTTTTCTATTCTGGTTTTAAAGTCCCAACTTGAACCAAAGCCTCTGCCTTCATTAACCAACTTATAGGGAAAGCTGGGTCCATGGTAACAGTAAACTGAAACACATGGTTACAATCAGCAAATTTTAGAGTCTGAGAAACTATCAGACAGATAAAATTGTTTGATATTATTGTAAGGAAATACTTTTAATTATCAGGGGAAAAACGAACAAGAGGACAGAACCTATAAGGTCAAAGATTTCAAGGGATGTGTCAGTTTACTGCAACAAATGGAATTTATTTGAACTCTGATTCCAAAGAACTAGAGAGATAGAAATGGGAGAAGGAAGGGAGAATGGTGAAAGAGGACTGTGGAGGAAATGCAAGTCTTGGCCAGATTTTTTTTATTTTAGTCAGGGATTATTTTTAATGTTTGTAGGCATAATAATGGGACTATGGTTCTGCCTCTTTAAAAGAGTTCTTGTCTTTTCATGATAAATACTGATTTTATGAAATGACCAAGTCTGCACTTCATGCTGTGCAGTAAGAAAATGGGAGCGAGTGTAGAGAAGCAGCAATTGTTCATTGTTGAAGGTGGGAGAAGATTTGTGGTTCATTATGCCATTGTTCATACTTTTGCTTGTAATTGGAATACATAACTACACAAAGGAAACTTTCTTTTAAAGCAGGTCTTGGCTTAATGTTTTTCACCTTTGTGATCCCTTCCTTCTAGATTTGAGGCTTCAGTTGAATTAATGTGACCACACTGGATTTAGGTGCATACCCATTGCAATCCCCAGCAAAATTCCATTGATTCCAAAGTTGATTTGTTTTCTTATTTAAAAGTTGTATTGTTCTTGTTGCTTCCTGAGAAGGCTGAGATGGACTCTTTTCTTGCTCGTCAGGCCCTGGGATCGCCACCTATGCCCAGAACCCTGAAGAAATCCCCAAAAAGTTTGATAAATGCACGAAAATGGTCCAGGATCACATTCCAGCCCACTTCCATAACTCCACCCAACTTTACCTGGCGGCCACGGCTGGGATGCGACTACTGAGGTAAGGGCTGGAATGGCAGGGAGGAGACCATGTGATCAAAATAGCCACACATGTGTTGTACCTTGCCAAGAATCTAATTCTGTTTTTGCAAACAAATTCCATATTGTGCCACAAGTTTAGGCTTTAGAAATTGGCAATCTTTTCATCTTTATTTTCACATCCAGAAGCAGTTCTAAAATTTGATTTCCTCTCCCTCAGTGATTTTGTTATGGGACAGGGAGAGAGAGGGGCACCATTGAACCCCCAAACCTTCCTGCTCTAAATAGGTTCTGCCATCTGCCACACCAAGACAAGATATGTAAGACCTTTAATGGAAAAGAACTTTAGTACAATTAATGTACAGTACAGAAAACACAAAGAACATAGTTTATCCCCTTTTGGATAAAAGTCCATCCAAAAGGGATTGGCCCAAAGTAAGGCCTGAAAGCCCTCCACAAGCCTAAAGCACCTTCTGGTGGGTCCCATAGAAAAGGCTCAGGAATGGCCAGACAGGTCTGGGAGGAAAAGAGCAACAAAATCAAAATCAACATAAACACTGCCATAGTTCCC